TAATCACTGAAGCAACTCACTCACGGAGCAGATGCTCTGTCCAGCGCTGGGGGTGGGGGTGCGCCGGGGTAGACGGGGTGGGGCACTGGTGAAGCACATTGGCCATCATCCGTCAGAGCTTGGTGCTTCTAGGCCCACCCTCCTGGCCTCAGTTGGATGCTCATAAAGGATGCTAATAACAACACCTACCCCCATAGGGTGTGGGGAGATTTGGTAGAGAATAAGCATAAAGCACTTAGCACAAAAGGCCATTAGGTCCGACTGCAGCTCCCTGGGGTGGGGGCTGCATCTGTGAGGGTAGATCTCCAGGCCTGGCCCCGAGCCATGGCCATCCAGAGGCAGTCAGCGTGCCCAGGGCACTCTGTCTCGGCACAGCCCATGGGGAAGCCCGTCGGATTCAAGTCTTCCTGATGAATGGAACTGGGGTGGGTGGAGGTGGAGGAAGCAAAGGCAGGGAAGGCTGAGTATGTGGCTCCCATTTCTATCCCTCACCTGGCCCAAGGTCACCCATTGGCTGCCCAGGGAGCCCCGGAAGGCAGGCTGGGCCTGTCACCTGCTCATTTAACCTGCTGGCCAGGGAAGCCCCTCTCCTCAGTCTTCATTGAGTGTTTTTTTAAAGATTTATTTATTTATGCATGCAAGAACTGGGGTGTAGGCTAAAAGTGCAGGGTGGTGAGAGGATTCACCAGAGACAGAGCGGGGAGCAGAACAGGCTGACCAACTGAAACACACCACTGAGGGGGGCAGCAAGGAGACAGGAGAGGTCTGCTGGGCCCTGTGGGTCAGCTCCCTGGCCAGGGAATGAACTCGCGCTGCAGTGGCTGTGGAGAGCTTCATAGTGCTGCGCTTTAACCTGTTGCGCCACCAGGGAGGGCCCCTTCTTTGGGTGTTTTTAAATAACAAAAATCCAATCAAGTTCGTTTTAAGAACGAATTTTTAAAATTGAGTTGGCTTTATTAAATAACTCATGAATGAGCAAACACCCTTCCTACCAAGTAAAACAGGATTCCAGAAATCTGTTGAAAATGAATGGCTTTTAGAGGCAGAAAGGGCCACAGAAGGGAGGAGTGAATTATTTCACGCCAGGTGGCCATCTATGGGGAGTGGGGAAGAGTCTCAAGTGGATGATTTCATCTTCCTTTGGGGGATGGAAAGGGTGCTTCATGGGTGCCAACCAGAAGCTTTCATTTAAGACTTTATTCCCGAGGAGGGTGGAAACGCCAAGATGCTAGTGATTAACCGAGCTTCTTAGGTGAGACAGCCAGGTGGGCTGAGCACCAGCTCTTCCATGCTGGGCTGTTTTATTTTGTTTTATCTTTAAATTGCTTTCAGCCTCATCCTTGGCTAAAGAGAAAGTTCTTTCCAGATCCAGGAGACCTCATCTCCTTTCATGGCTCTGCACAGAGTCCCACCTGGAGAGAACCACTTGGAACCCACATGGACAACCTGAAGGCTCCACCTGTGAGACTTCCCTGCTTCCTGTCCACTCAGGCTCATGAACTCCCCTGCTTCCTGTCTCCTGCTTCCTGTCCACTCGAGCTCACAGCCCCATTATGGGGGTGCGTGAAGGGTGTTTCCTAGAGATCAGTTCTCTGGGGTGGGGCTTCTGGAGCAGGTGACTGCTTCCCCAGGCAGTGGTCTTCGTCCCCTCATCTGCTTCTTTATTAGGTTAGGAGCACGTTGCGATCCTCCTCACAGGTGGCTTCCTGATGTCCTCCTTGTTTTTCAGCAATTCAGTGCATGTGCGCACAGCAGTAACCACTACAGTTGATCCTTGAGCAACCTGGGTTTCAAATGCATGGGTCCACTTACACGTGCAAGATTTTTCATCTTGGGAAAGAAAAGTCCCAGCGCTCAGGTGGGACTCAAGAAACTCCACTCTATTCTCCATTCCCCCTCCCACCCTCCCAATACAGTGTCTGGGATCCCCAGAGCCTGGACTGACCCTCAGGAACTGGCTGACCCTTGAGGGCTTTGAGCAGCGAGGCAGTGTCAGTGGGAACCATGGAAACCAACTCTTGCAGCAGAATTTGTGCTGCAGCTTCGGATGAAGGTAATGTCCGGGGCAGAGAGGACGAGTATCTGAAGAAGCCACTGGCCAAGGAGAGACAGGAGGTAGAATCAATAGGACATGATTGATTGATGTGGATTCAGGTCCAAATGCCTTTACTTAGCTGGCCATTCCACCTTCAAGTCTTATCATTCTCCTTGCCAGTCTCTGTTCTTGCTCTGTTCTTGTTCTAGAACGTTCTTGCTCTGTCAAGTGAATGCTGTGCTAGCTAGCTTCTTCTGTCTGGAGGACCAATCCCCTCACTTCAGAAATTTTGGGTTCCGTTGTCTACCCTACTAGAGAATGAGCTTACTGAGGGAAGATGCCAATTCTTTTCTCTCAGAATCCCAGAGCTGGCATAAAGGCTGACGACTACCTACAGGTTTCACCCACTATCTGAAAATGGAATACTCCAATTTAGTGTGATTTGGTACGTTATTTTTTTGGATCCGAGTGCACAAAAAATGCCATCGACATGGCATACCATAATAATGGTAACAGTTATTGCCAAAAATAACCTAGTGCATCCTACCAGAAAGAAGCCTTCCAACTACCTGATAGCAGGCACAACATATATTTGTTAAACAAATCAACGAATAACAAAAAGATGCAGGGAGAAGGGGGAAAGGAAGCAGAGGGAGCATGAGTAAAGACATCGGGCACAGTGTCAGACCCGGTTATAATCATGGCTGTCTCTGATGTGACATGGTAATCCTCATCCGAGTGAGACCTGAGGATGATCTGAAGAGCGCCTGCCTGGGCTAGCTGCTGGAACTCCAACCACATGAAACAGGAATGGTGCTGAGAATGCTCGAATATTCTGTTCCAAAGTTTTAGTAAGAGGGTTGCGTGACAAGAGGCCATCTTTCTGCAGACTCTGATGCAGGTGCAGGGTGGGGCCTGAGAGCCTCGAGAGAGACAGCGAGACAGGTGGATGGAGCCGCGACCTGTCCCAAACCCAGTCCCCGAGCTCAGTTCTGTTCACAGCAGCAGCCTCTCAGCTGGTTCCAGCAGATTTACATTCTCAAATCTTCTGCTTTGACTTTTTCTGTTCTTCCCTTGCTGCCCCCACCCTTACTGATCTCCCAGATCCTCAAGAGACCAAAATGTAAGCCAGAGCAGGAGACAGGGTTTGAATTAATTTCCGCGTCTTTGCATCTTGCAGTAAAATAGAAAAATCGAGCATAGTAAGTCCTATTTGTCCTGGGTTGCAATCTTTGCTTATGCTTATTTTTTTTTGTCAATTAATTTTTTTAAGAAAAGACTTGTTCTCACATGTCCAGATATCCATCGTTAAGACGAGGAGTGTTCAGCGCGGGTTCAGGAGTCGCACAGGGCAGACTCAGACGCTGCTCAGATTGACCTTGGGCAAGTTCTCAAGCAACTCTGGCTCTGCCCGCATCCCTGGAAATTGGAGAATCCAGTATTGTCTGTAGCATGGCTATTGCTTACAATGTCCGCAGGGACTTCATAAACCCATCTCAGATTGCTTTTGTGACAAATACTGTAATTAAGGCACTGGTCCCATCCTGTAGGTGGCACAGAGCTTCCTGGGGCTTGGGTGCTAACGCTTTTCTTAACCCTTTTGTCTTGGTAGTGACAATGCTCCCCTAAAATCCTCCCTGGCTTTGGCCTCCCACCTCTGAACCTGTTTCTTCCTCTTTAAGAAAAAGGGTCAGCCTGAAAGAGCTTGAGTCCCTTGGGCCCTGGGGGATTTGATTCAGGAGGCTGAGCAGGGGGGTCCGGGGTCTGCAGCCTGAACCTAGTCAATAAGGTTCCCCCTACCCCCCATTCCAGCTGTTGATGAAATAGACACAGAGACCAAGGAAGCAGGCAGCTCCCTGGCTCTGGGCTGGACTGGCGAGGCAGCTGGTGGGGCTGGCTCCCGCTGCTCACCAGCTCCACGAGCAATTATATATGTCTTTGATTAATAAAAAATGGAGCAATGAATGAATACTTAATCAACAGTCTGGTGGGTCTGTTCTTTCAAAACCTGGAATGGTGGGGGGGGAGGCTGGGTCGCTGGGGTGAAAGGCAGGTCACCCGGCCAGGGGGCCAGGGCGTGGTTTCTGGGACTCGGTGCCTGCAGGTTCTTGGCTCCCTGATGCCGAGCTTGCATTGCAGCCCTGGGAACTGAGGCCGGAGAGAGGCTGAGTGGAGGGTTCGTGGGGAGGAGGAGGGCTCAGGGGCTCCTCGAGGGTAAAGAACTTGAAACAGGGTGTGTATGTGTGTACACGCACGCGCGCTGTGAATTTATGATACTTGCCAAGGGCCTGTCCAAGCTCACAGCAGTGTTAAAATAACTTGGTTAGAGAAGGGGGGAGAAACAAAGGAGCCTGGAGGCTGAAAGACTAAGAAAAGTGCAAAGAGAAACTGCTGGTTAGAGGGAAGAGAGCGGAGATCCAAGGGGGCAGCTGAGGCATCACGAACCGGGAAGGAAGTGATGAGGAATGGGAGGTAGAAACCCTCCCCCAACGCCGCCCCCACCAGCCGGCCCTTCCGGGCACAGCGGGACCAGGACGCCCGGCAGGCGAGAGGCAAATCGTCCCTGGCAAGAGGCAAATCGTCCTTGGCAACCACGCCGCGAAGGCAGGGAGAGGGGAGAGGCGAGAGGCGGAGGCAGCCGGGCGCTGAGGCAGATCCGGTGAGAGTCGCGGGGGCTCCCCGGCAGGCGGACAATGGACAACGGACCGGACCGGAGTCCCACCCAGAGAGAGCTTCCCTACAGCGGTGGCCCTCGGGGCCGGGTGGGTGGACAGAGGTCTGGGGGTGCTTTACTGGCTTGTGCAAGTGGGGGGCCCCAGCCGCGGTGTGGAAGGGGAGTCCCGTTAGAGTCGGAGGTTGGGGCATTAGACCAGCGTGCCGCGGGTCCAGCCGGAGGGCTGGCCTTGGGCAAGTGGAGGAATCTCTCTGGAACTGCTGTTAATTGTTAGCGAAGGAAGACGGCAACGCTGCCAACTTTGCACCTGGTCCTAGAACTTGGACCAAAGCCCCCACCCCCTGGCCTGGCTCAGAACGCTGCTCTTACTGTCTGGGTGCTGGGTCTCCAGCACTAGCCTCTCGCTCTCTTCCTGCCTCACCGGTGGAGGGAGAGACACGCAGCATTAGTTCTAACACCTGGCCGCTTTCTCTACCCACCAAGAACCCTTTCCCACAATCCCCTGGACCAAGGGGCTCTGCTCTATTTTCCAGGATCCAGAGACTGGCCCACAGAGGGCTTTTGCCCTACTAGCCTGAACCAGCTGGAATTTTCCAGTTGCTCAGCACCAGGAGGCACTGCTCTTGTGGTCAGCCCAGGGCTCGTCAATGGGACTTGAGGAGGATCCGCCTCCCGCCCGGCCGGGCCCAGGCCTGCGCCTTCGGGTGGCCACTCTGCTGACCGGGCTGCTGGAATGCCTTGGCTTCGCAGGCGTCCTTTTCGGCTGGGCATCCCTGGTATTCGTCTTCAAAACAGAGGGTTACTTTAAGGAGTTGTGTGAACCCAATGCCCAGCAAGTGGCCAATGCCACCGAGGACAGTGGTAAGTGGTGGTTGTCCGTCTGGGGAAGTTGGGTCTTGTTCCCAGTGGTGGATTCCACCCCCTTGCCCACCCCGCTGGCCGGTCTGTGGTGAGCGGAAAGGGGTATCCGCTTCCCCCTGACCCTCCTCCCCCAGCTGTGGATGAGGAATTGCCGGGGAAGGGAGACATCCGCTCCTGTGGGTGATAAGAGGCGATCACATTGCGGTTCAGGATAGGGAGGACCCCGCTGGGCCCTTGGGGGGTGCCATCTGTAGGGAGGCTGGGGTGGGCAGGCGGGAGGCTGGCCCTCTGGTGGGCTCCCAAGCTTGCCCCCGATTTCCCTCAGACTGCAAAGCCCAGGATGAGAAATTCTCACTCATCTTCACCCTGGCGTCCTTCATGAACAATTTCATGACGTTCCCCACCGGCTACATCTTTGACCGTTTCAAGACCACCGTGGCCCGCCTCATAGCTATGTAAGTCCAGAGCCCCCGCCTGGGCAGAGGTGTGCGAGAGAGGTTCTGCTGGCAGCCAGCAGGACTTGGAGGGAACCCCGAGCTTGGCCCCTGAACGGGCCCCTCCATTAGGAAGGGCCTGTGGTGGTGACTGGCTCCAGACCCTTCCTTCTTACTCCTACTTCCCGTTTTTTTCTCCTTCCCCTAATCCCCGCAGCTGTGTGTAATGTGCTAAGCAGAACCTGGAGTGCATGCTACTTCCTGTGAAGGCTGGCTCGGGGCCAGGCTTACAAAATTAGCCAAGCTAAAATTGCCGCTCTGTCTTCATCCCAGGATCCTTGTCTTCATTCCTTATAAGGCCTCACATCCTGGTCACTCAGGCTGTCACCCTGCTCACCCCCAGGCCTCTCCAGGACTTAGTTGGGCCTCTTGGTGCCTCTTCAGGCTCAGAAGGAGGGGCAGTGAGGCTGGTCCTCCTTGGCCAGGTCGGGAGATAAGCAGGGGTCTGGGGGAACTGATAGAACACAGAGCCGGTGCTTCCCGGAAAGGACTTGAGTGGTGGGGGGGGGGGGGGGGGGGGGGGCCGCAGGGCCAGCTGGGCTGGGAAACAGCCAGGCCCTTCATCTTTGAGCCTGGAGCGTGAGGCCTTTCTGTTGGCCCTGGTCCGTGGGGTCTGTCTCCTGTCTTGCTTGCTTCACCCCGCCCTCTTCTCCAACCCTCGTGTGCCCAGAAAAACTCAGTCCCCCTCCCGTGCAACTGTCCCATCTCCTTCGCTTTCATGCAGGACCTTTCACTGCTGACACTTCCGACCGCCCCTTGGGAATCGTGGAGGGGTTGACGAGGGCTCTGGGAGGGGAGGGGGTGTAGAGATACACATCTCTTATAAATCACAGCACCACATTTAGGCACACGTCTCTTACCCTGTGTCTTAATAAGACGCCTGGATTTCTAGGAGATTCCCCCCTGGGATAGGAATACCCGAGAACGTTGGCTTGGGGTCTTGGCCAGTCTGACCATTTCTTTTGGTAACACAGGCTGCGGAGCCAGAGGAGGGCAGTCCTGCCCAAGATCTCACAGGGAGGGGAGTTAGAACTCAAGGTTTAGTTCATAGCACAGGCACCAACTCCTTCCTCCAGGAATGGGCCTGTTGGGCCTTCAGGTGGGGCCTTGCTCCTTGCGCTCTGCTTTCCCCCTGGCTAATCCCTGCAGCTGTCCTGAACCAGCAGTTGAGCTCATTGTCCAGGACTTGCCCCCTCCCCCAGCCCTGCACCCGCAGAAGGCAAAACACCATCATGTAGAGGAGAGGTCTGGGTCATACTTACATCACCAGCTGGGACTTCTGGACCTGCTTCTGGGCCTGGGGCCCATTGACTTCCTGGCTGAGCAGATAGTCAAGGAGGCTGAGAGAACAGAATTTAACCCTCTACCCCCTTTCTCTTTTCTTGACAACATTCTTCACCCCTCACCCCACTTCTGTATTGCAGTTTTCTCTACACTACGGCCACGCTCACCATTGCCTTCACCTCAGCAGGTGAGTGTTGTCCGGTGGCGGTAGGGACATGAGCTCAGGGCACCTGGTGGATGGGGCAGGTGGAAGGTGATGGGAGGTTGCCCAGGTATTCCAAGATGCTCTGACTCTAAGCTGGAAAGAATCGGGGAGAGCTAGTGTGGGTTTCTGGACCCAGTTCAGTCTCCTGAGAACTGTGAAAAATAAGCACAATGGGGGATTGTTTCCGAGAGTCAAATTTATTCAGAATTTTCTTCTTGCATGTATTCAAACCTTCAGTTCTTAAAACAAAATGATACTATGAGTGACAGTTGTTTTGGAAAATATCCTTATTTAGCAGGGTAAAAATTGACAACCCTATCACAGTCAAAAGTTTGCAAATTTCACTGGTCTATAAATGTATAAAATTCCCACGGTCTGGGCATGCCCATCTGCTTCCTTTCTCCCTTCCCCCACTCTGAAGAGAAAACGGATACCAGAGGAGATCCCTTGCAAAGACCATCCCAGACCACAGAGCACATTTTGGGGGAGCGTCTGGAAAGCTTGGCTGTGTTTTCTCTCAGCCAAGAGATGTCGGGTCATGTGGCTATGGTGCTGGGTGAAGTGCGAGAGTGAATCACTCCCTGTGTGTCTCTGGGCTGACTGGCCGGCATCATGGCATCTGTGCTCAGTCAACAGGCCAGTGTCTTTGGGCAGATGCATTTCCTGAAATAACCCAGCACTTCCAGCCAGATTTATTTATGCATACAAGAACTGGGGTTACAGGCCAGAGGTGGGAGGGGTAAGAAGATTCACCAGACACAGAGTGGGGAGCAGAACAGGTGGATTAACTGAAATGCACGCTGAGGGGAGCCGCGGATGAGACTGGCGAGGTCTGCTGCGCCATGTGGGTCTGCTCCCTGGCCGGGGATCGAACTCGGGCCACGACAGCTGCCTGTAGCTCCACAGTGCTGCGCTTTAACCTACTGCGCCACCAGGGAGGCCCTCTAGCCAGGTCTTTAAAGCCAGTCTCTTCATGAAATGGTGTGCATCTTATCTAAGAGCCTGCACAAGCTGTTCGAGTGCCTGAGTGGTGGCTGCGTCGGTGTGACTTATACTTGTGAATCCTCAGAGCAACATGTGTTCCTTCCCCCATAGAGTTTTGGGGAAAGTGCAGTGTGCACACTCGCTCACGGGCAGGGAAACCCAACCAAGCTTTGGTGCACTAGGAGAGGTGCATTTTTGCAAAGACTGACACTGAATCATCAATCTTAGTGGTACTTTTCAGGGTGTGGGACAGTCGTTGGTCGGGAGGCCGTTGGGGAGCTTACGCGTGCCCTGTCCACAGGCACTGAATCACCTTGTGGGAAAGTTACGGCCTTTTCATTTCCCTTTCAGTCCTCTGAGGTCACAAACCAAAGTCTTGATGTGGGGCGCCATCTGATGCCGGGGCGGGGTGGGGGTGTGTGTGATCTCAGCGCTATGGCAAGAGCAGGCTTTGCGTTGCCCACCGGGCACAGCTGCACCTTGTTACACTTCAATAACACTGTTGGGCACAGCTGCACCCTGTTACACTTCAATAACACTGTTTTCCTTTCACCCCACTTGCTTCTACAGGTACTTTCTATTTCCTGACAGGCAACACATGTTGCTTTTTCATTTATAGGTGTGGTTAAAGTGTTTCCTTTAAAACCTAGGTTACTTTTGGATGACAGTAAGTCGACTTAAGGGAAACCTTTTAGCAAACAATAGGACAGGTGTGGGCAGAGTCGCAGCCCTGGCCAGAACTAGCAGGTGACAGCCTGTGGTCCAGCAGAGACTCACTTACAAAGACGCCCCAGGACAACCATTGTGCTCTTTTCCAGCCCTTTCCAGCCCAACTGCAAGGATTTATTCCCCCCACATGCCTCCTTAAGGGCAAGAGGTGTGTTTTTCTCATCCTGCCTCCCCACAGCTTGGAGCAGGAAGGGCAGGCACAGCCTCCCACTGACCAGACCACAGATTCAGAATCCAGCTCCAGGCCACGGAATGAATTAGAGACTGGACTTGGGGGTCAAGTGAGGGCTCCCCCAGCTGTCTCCTCCCAGTGTCAAGAATGAACACAGAAACTACTGTGGATTAGGAGTGCGGTTCAAGTCTCCGAAGGTGGCTCACGATACCTGCATGCGAACACTTGGAGGAGTCTTGACAAGCACCCTGAGATCCCGCAGGGGTGCTGGAAGACTAGTGCTGAGGCACTAACCCAGGGTTGTTGGGGGTTTGGTGCAAGTGGAAGTCAGGTTGTGAGGCTCTGGTCTGGGCTGCTCTGTGACACTGCTGTCCGATTGTTCTAGACTCAGCTGTGCTGCTTTTCCTGGCCATGCCCATGCTCACAGTCGGGGGAATCCTGTTTCTCATCACCAACCTGCAGGTGTGCGCTCACCTGGATCTCAGGCACCAGCAAGAGGCTGGGATTGGGAGGGATGGGAAGGACAGAGAAGCACATCTCTTCAGTGGCTGCTACAAATGGGGTTGGCCCAAGCCAGGGTGGGGTCTCCTGGGGTGGCAGGTGGCTTTGGGATGTAATGAGGGCTGGCGCGTGCTGGGTGCTCAGGGAATAGCTCACGAATAAACACGTGACTTGAGCTGGCTGTGTGTTCTTCAGGTTGGGAACCTGTTTGGCAAACACCGCTCTACCATCATCACCCTCTACAATGGTGCATTCGACTCCTCCTCGGCTGTCTTCCTTATCATCAAGGTAAAGACGAGCATAGCCAACTCAATGGAGCTGTCCATAGGCCAGACTCTGCACAGTTACTCTCCAGCAAGCCGCGGAGAGGAGCTGTTCATCCTGGCTTTACAGGTGAAGCATTTGGTCTGCTATGAACATTGGTGTGAGGCTGAATTTTTCCCTTCCTTTTCTGCAGCTCCTGTATGAACGGGGGATCAGCATCAGGGCCTCCTTCATCTTCCTGTCTGTCTGCAGCTTCTGGCATGTGGGGCGTACTCTGCTCCTGATGCCCCGGGGCCACATCCCCTTCCCCCTGCCCCCCGGTTACAGCTATGGGTAAGGCCTGAATTCTGCTGGTGGTCCGCCCCTTATGTGACCTGGGAAGGAAGCAGGGGTGAGACAGCCTTGGTGGGGATAGGGCAGAGGAGACCGTCACAGAGTGGGGGCCAGAAGAGGTGTATCACCTGGTTGTGGCTGCGTCTCAAACGGCCCCCAAGATTGATGGCGCGGAAGGTTACGCATTTACTACTCTTCACACCTGTGGGTGGGTGGCTGGGTCTCCTGATCCGGGACAGGCTTGGGTGATCTCGGCAGGGCTCATCCTGATCATCTGGTGGGTTAGCAGGGGCTGGCTGGTCCAGGAAGGCCTCATTCAGGTGGGGTTACCTGGAGGCGTTTTGAGGTGATGGGGCAGTCCAAGTGCTGTGTCTCCCACCTCCAGCAGGCTAGCTGGGGCTCATTCACTAGGTGGTTTAGGGTTCAAGAGCGAGCACAGAGAGGCACAGCTTGCCTGGGGCTTGGGGTTGAAATGCGCTCACTGCTGCTGCTTTCTCGGGCTGGAACAGCTCAGACCTGCAAAGTCTCATTTGCATAGGAGGCGAAGAGAGGTGATGGTCTTTGCCGTGGGTCACCACACATGGTAGAGAGCGGCCATTCATGGCTGCTCACGATTGCTCAGACCCCATGAGAGCTCGTCTGGGCATCATCCTCTCAGGCAGGGAGCCTTAGTTCTATTTTCTAGTTGATTTAAAAAAAGGCTCCATAGGGTGTCCAGCCATAGACGGTAAGAGGCTGAGCTGGGCTTGTTGCCAGACCCATCTGTCTCTGCCCAAGCTGCCTCTGGTCCCCAAACTTTGTTGCATGTAAGTATCACTTATAGAAGCCCGACTGCTATACCCAGACATTCTGATTTGACCCACTGGGCTCTAGGCTGGGGAGGCCCCTCCAGCCTGCCTGGCAGGCTCAGCCCAACATCCTGGGGATGGGCTGGCGGGCTTCTGTTTCCACAGCCTGTGTGCCAGAACCAGGGAGCAGCAGCAGGAAACTCCCGCACCCCAGAAACTGGAGCTGCCCTCCCAGGAAGGCCTCACACAGAAGGCAGGTGAGCCCTGGGCTGGGCCCACTCCCCTCACCTGGCCTTTCCCTGTGGTGGACCTGGCTTCTCACCTGGGTCAGAACCAGGACTGGTCAGGTGGGAAAAGGACTGTAGGGTCTTCTTTCTTTGATTTTCATTGTATGTATTCATGTTACTTGAATTTTGGGCCTGCATTTGACTAGAATACAATGATTAGAATTGACAGGTGTCTTTTTTTTTTTTTAAGATTTTATTTGTGCACACAGAACTGGGGTACAGGTCAGAGGTGCAGGGGCAGTGACAGGACTTACTAGAGACAGAGTGGGGAGCAGAACAGGCAGACTGAGAAGTACACTGCTGAGGGGAGCAGCGGGCGGGCCAGGAGAACTCTGCTGCGCCATGTGGGTCAGCTCTGGTGCCGGGGCTCAAACTCGCACCAAAGTGGCCACGGCAAGCTTTGCAGTGCAGCGCTCCAACCCACTGCGCCACCAGGGGGGGCCCTGACAGGGGTCTTTTTAACACATCCTCCATGGGGGATCCAGTGGGGCTAAGGCTTTCGCCCCTTCTGCTTTTCCTGTCCCTCTTTCTTCTCTGACCATTGCAGGCACCCCACCCGCCTCCCGCCAGCCAGTCCCTGCCGCTGCCTTTCCTTCCTGGCTCCGCTCCTCAGTCCTGAGCTGTGTCTTTGTCCCCTCCCCTTCAGGTCTCCTGGGTGCCCCCCTCACTGTCTCCTCTGCATTCATCTCCTTTCCTTCTTCCGTCTGTTGCGGGTCTTTGGTTCCAAGCATCACAGACCACCGCTGGCCAAGGTAGAAACAAGAGCAGGAATTTTGAAAACTCACAGCACCAAGGGATGAATGAATGAACTCACAGGCCCCAGGAAGAAGAGAAGCTGGGGCTCCCCCCCACCCCCCCACCGAGGTACCGGCCAGCCTGCCTCTATAGAGAGTGATCGGATTGGTCGACCGGACTCTCGAGACACAGTCCCATCTGGAGCCTGAGGAACAGGGTAGAGGAAGATTTCCAGAAGAAACTCAGGCGGCCGGTACCAGGGAAGGAAAGTGTGTGGGGCCACTGAGGGGTGCTGTCCACCCCCAACCCTCGCCTCAGCTCTGGACTTTCCCTTTGCCTCGTCTTTCTTTTCACCTTTCCGGCTGAGAAAGAGCAAGAACGTGTTAGTGCAAGAAATGTCAACCACTCCCAGATGCGAAAGACCAGATTTCAGCAGATGCGGAGCACGTGGGGGAGGGTCACTCAGGCTCCGGCCTCTGCACTCCTGGCCACTCCCCCTCCACCTTCCTTGCAATTCCTCCCACCAGAGACCCCAGCACCGGAGGAGCAGCAGCCTCGCTCTTTCTGGGGCTATGCCATCACCAGGCGCTTTGCCTGGCACCTGGTGTGGCTGTCTGTGATCCAGCTGTGGCACTACCTCTTCATCGGCACCCTCAACTCGCTGTTGACCAAGCTGGCCAGTGGGAACAGGACGCTGGGTGTGTGGTGGCGCTGGGGGACGGTGTGCGGCTCTGTGCATCTCAGCTGTGGACTGGGGGAGAGGGGCGGGGGGGAGGGGCGGGGGGAGGGTTGTGAAGCCCCGCAGGGCTGCATGCTGCAGGGGAGGGTTAGGCAGGACAAGAGCAGGGTGGCAGTGTCCTGGCTTGCTAGGCTGTCCTAGAAATTCCTCCTTACCCAGCACCTCTCTGACCTCTGCAGTCAGCAGCTACACAAACGCGTTTGCCATCACTCAGTTCTTTGGAGTGCTGTGCGCCCCCTGGAACGGCTTTCTCATGGACCGACTTAAGCAGAAGTACCAGAAGGAAATGAACAAGAAGGGTGAGACACTGGGGACGCCAGAGGGTCGGGGATACAGGAGGGGAGAGGTCTCATCGACATCCCTGTGTCCCTCCTTCCCGGTATCCCTCCTCCGGCCGCACATCCGCACTCTGCTCACTGTGTACCAGAGTCAACAGCAGACAGACAGGTCTGTCCCTGCTCCCAGGCTAGAGAGTGGGTAAAGGCACACGTTCTAATCTGTTAACACAAATGGGGTCACGGGGACCCGAAGAAGAGCACATAGCCGGTTCTGGGTGAACACTGAGTTGGTGTCCTGGAAAGCTTCCTGGAGGGAGTGGCATGTAAGCTGAGACATGTGAGTAAGCAGTGAGGAGATGAGGGAGGGGACCTGGGAATAGTAGCCTAGGAATAGGGGGTGTCAAGGTGGTGAAGGAGAGGACAAAACTGTGAGGAATCTTAGGAAGTAATTCAGGCTGGCCAGGCACTAGGCGGGACAGGACAGGTCTGGAGAGAGAAGAGGCAGGCAACACTACCCCAAATGCTTGTGCATGA